CCTCAAAAGATGGTTATCATTTCATGATCATCTTTTGTATTTTTTACTTTTTTCAGATTATCAATATGTATATATGCTCTACTCAAGGAATGATATCACTAGTTATGTTTAACTCTTAAATTAATTTCCAATGGAAGTTATAGGGTGATGTCTCTCTAAATGCAGAAAGTAATATTTAATCTTAAGTTTTATACGGGTGAATTGCTTGAAAATTCTTACAGGTATTGATGTTTAATGTTTCTGGTTAAAGTCAGAAACTGTTACTGTCCACTTAGGTCCATATGCTCAGGTCTTGTTTGCTTGCTGCTGACCAAATCAAAGGAGGCCATTATTTACTTGGTGAAAAGGAAAAAGGCTTCATTTACAGCTATCACTAAGGAGACGGAAGGCTTCATTTGCTCCATATCATCTTACTGTGTCCACGTGTGCATGAGAACAGAAGGGAGGAGGGATGCAATGAGACATTCAGCATTTCCAGACTTGCCTTGTTGCTCCCAGCCATCTTCTCTCTCCCAAGACTAAGAAAAGAGAATGAGGGTCCACAGTAAGATTTTGAGCAGATTTCTTAGAAATCTGGGAGACCAACAGGTGGTGTGATGATATATTTAAACTGTTGAAAAGAAAAAACCAAGAAGTTTATATTCAGCAAAAATTTCCATCAAAAATCAGAGAGAAATCAAGGCATTCATAAATAAAAGCCAAGGAGTTACTACTAGGATCTACCCTACAACAAAGTTACTAGGGTAGTAACTTGTAGCCACATAAAGATAGAAAGATATCTGTTAAAGGTAAATATAAAAGCTGGTGTCAAACAAATTTTTTATTATAATTTATTTTTTATTTGCCACAGGATTTGCATGGCAAAGGAGTAAATTACATATCTATGCTAAATGATTATACAGTGTATAAAGATATAATTTGTGACTTCAATAACAAAGCAGAGAGTAGGCAGAATGTATAGTAGAGAATTGTATGTACTGTTGAGGTTAAATAAAGTTAAGAGGTTAAATAAAGTTAAGTTAATGTCTTAGTCTGTTTTGTGCTTCTATAACGAAATGCCTGAGATTGGGTAATTTATAAAGAATAGAAATTTAGGCTGGATATATAGCTCAGTGGCATAGTGCCTACCTGGCAAGTACAAAGTCCTAAGTTTGATTCCTGGTACCAAAAAAGAACAAATTTTATTTTCAGGGTTGTAGAGGTTGGGAGGTACAAGATCTAGGAACTGGCATCTGCTGTCAGGTGAGGACTATTCCCTGCTTCCAGAGGTGCTTTTGTATCCTCTGAGGGTGTTTCCTCATCCTCAGTGAATAGGCTATTCTTTCCTGTTTCTTTGTATGTCTTGTAATTTTTTTTATTGGAAATTGGACATATTAGAGAATATAGAAGCTCTGGGTATTGATTCCCCCTTCCTTCAGGACTTATTAGCTTGTTCAGTTGTTTAGTGACTGTTTTAGTCAAGTCTGTTTCTCTCCCTAGTGTTCGACCTCTAATAGTATTCCTTGGGAAGGCCTGATTTTGGATTTGCCCTCAGTTACCTTGGACTCATACAGGTAGTGTATTAGGCAAGACTCTCCTTGTCTTTTGTGGGTCATATCCAGCTGTTAAACTCGTGTAATTGCTGGCAGATTGTTCTGTTGGTTTCACCCAGTGCCCTAGCTGTGTAGATTGTGCTGTGGAATTACCCAAGTTGTGTCTTCTTTGATGGAAGAATTTCTGAGGTCATTGTCTAATCTTTGTTTTGCTCTTACTAGCTGTCTTACTCCTTGGTTCATTCTTGTATAGTCATTTCCAATTTAGATGGTATTCTTCCAAACGCCTCAGTCTCTCTGCTTTAAAGGACCTATAGGCTTGGAGTTGTTTACTTTGCGATTCAAATAAAGTCAGGTGTTTTGGGGAGTAGATTAGAAACAACAGTATAAAATCTGTTTGTTTTTTTTTTTTTGTTCATCTGTTTCTCAGCCAAGACAAAATCTCTGACCTGGCCAATAGGAACAATGACAGGATTTTTAAAGTGCCATTCCCAGTGTAGCATATGATTGCTTAGAGGTAAGCTATAGCTTGGGCTCCTCCTAGTGTGGAACCCACCTGCTGAGCCATACCCAAGGTAAGGCCTTCATCCCAAATGTAGGGCTTGGGCAGGAGGGAGCAGTTTTTTTGGAACTTTTTTCACCAAGGATTTAATCTTAGCGATAGCTGAGAAGAATAAGAGGCTCAGCTTCTCTGGGGAAAGGAGCTTGTCCTTTGGGTGCTGGTTTCAGAGGGAGCCCTGTGTTTTTGCCTGCCACACTCTGAAGGGGAGTCTGCTTTGAGTTAGCAGGATTTAGGGAAGAGGAGAGGTTCAAATACAGTACCACCTTTCTTAATAGATTTTCATAGATATCCTTGAATAGCTGCTTCTTAATTTATTGTTTGTTCTTAGGATAATTTCTGGAGGTTTCTAAAGGTGATTATTTTGCAGCTTTTACCACATCCTTTGGGGAAGAGACCAGTAAAGTTCCTCACACTGTCATGCCAGAGATCAGTTGTCTTCAGTCCACTGATCTGTTACTGTTTTTTGCAGTTTTTTCTTTCTTAAAAACTCATTCTGGTTAGGATTGGTTGAGTGATTGATTGATTGATTTGTTGAACATCTTTTCCTGTGATTATTTGCCGTTAGTATATTCTCTTCAGTGAAATGTTTACTTATGCCATTTTGCATTTTCTAGTCAGATTATTTTTTGTACTGTTCAACTTCTTAGAGTTCTCTCTTCTTCATGTAGTTTAGATACCAGTCCTGTATTGGATCTGTGATGGGCAAATTCTTTCAGTTTGAAACTTGTCTTTTTAGTTAATTTGCAGGATCTTTTATAAAAGTTAATGTTTTTTTTTGCTTTTTTTGCTTTTCTTCTGGTACCAGGAATCGAACTCACAACCGTGCGCTTGACAGGCAGGCACTGTGCTGCTGAGCTAAATCCCCAGCCCCCAAAAGTTAATGTTGATGAAGTCCACTGATCAGTTTTTTTCTGGTATAGATAATGCTTTTGGTGTCAAGACTCTTATTTTGTGGTACGGTGTATTGAACTTAGGGCCTTCACACTCAGCTACATTCCTAGCCTCTTTTTAGCCATCAGGGCAAAATAGAAGTTTAAAAGTTGGATTTTTTTCTTTAAAAACGAGCAGTGTTGTCACATTTCCTCAAGCTTGGGGCATAATGGGCCACCTTTTCTTCATAGCTCAGATGAATGAACAGCTAGCTGCTAGCTCCCAAGGGGTCAGCTCCCTTTGAGACTACTGTCTTCAGTACATTTCCTCAGGGTTCCATAACCACCATCATCCCTCCCTTTTCGCAATTCACATGAAGGCACAGAATGTGCAGATGATGGTCCCAGGAGATCAAAGCCCAGTTTCTTTTTTTTTTAATTTAAAAAATATAAGAATGAAAACATATTAACAAACACATACATTTACAGAATAACACAAGAACAATACAAGCAATACTGAATTTCAGACAAGGTGATAGGAAATTAACAATGGTGGTTGTATTACATATTGATATCTTCAAAGTGGTTACTCAGGAAAACAAATATAGGCATATAAGATTGATCAGATAGTTAATCATTAACTGTTCCTTTCAGTACAGCGATAGAAATCAGTAGTACAACTATGTTAGCTATCCTGTATGTATGTACATATATATATACATAATTTTCTCCTTCTTTGTTTTCTTTTTTCCCTCATCCCAGTTGTTGTTTACTTTTGAGCAGTTTCCTTTCGTTTTACACTATCATACCTCCTAATTTTTATTCACTCTTTCAGGTTTCTACTCTAGTGAGACAATACATTGTTTGCACACAGAACCCAGTATCTATTCCAAAGGAAAGTGAGAAAGCAAAGAAGGCTGGGAGGGATAAAGCATTCCCTCATTTTGTTGTCTCATTGTATCCCCTCCTATCTGTTCCTTGCTTTAAAAGGTGTTTTCGTACCTGTCCACAGCAGGATGGTGATTTGAAGCAATGTGGCCCCTCCATTTCTTACTGATTTAATGTATCTAGTTGGATTGGCTGTGATAATCTCCTTATTAGGATATTTAACTAATTGTCTAAAATTTTATGTACTATGAGTTATGAAGTAGACTGCCAAAGACTAGGAAAGTAGATTACTGCAGTGCAGTTTAGAGTGGATTGATGATTTCTGAAAGTGTTTGTCACTGAAAAACATTGAGTATCATCTATCAAATCTTTGTTAAACATTTACATGCATAGCATTTTCTGAGAGCTCAGATGGATATACAAAGAGCACGCTCTGGTCCTGAGATTGTTATGTTCCAAGGTAGTTTACAGTTCAAAACAACTAAAAAATATTGAAATAAAAAACATTAAACATTTTTAATGCAAAAAAATTATCTATAAAATGAGTTCTGTAAGTTCAGAATCTCTTTAACTTTGTCCTATTTATAGAAAGTGTGGTGAGTTTGGTTTTCTTACCTGTGAAATAAAAATAAAAATACACTATGGTGTCATTGTGATGTTTAAATGAGATTGGATATGTAAATATCCAGCTACAGTATATGAGCTTACATAGATTTCTTCTACAGTTAGGTAAGTTTTTAATGAAAAAGTAATATATTTTAAAAGAAAATGCAGCTGGAACAAGGAGATGAGTAAGCCTTCTCACTGTAGACCCAAGGGTCTTCCTTATACACTTCTGTGCCAAGAGCATAGTTTTGAATAAGTTCTAGTAATTATTTAGGTACATGTATACTTATATATAGTTGTATATTTTATAACTAACATAAATGGGAGCATAAACATGTTTCCCTGTGTCTTGAGTTTTTCATTTAAAAACAGATTTTGATAATTTTCCCATCAGGAAATAGAGATTTTTATACATTATTCTTTTATTATTTTAATGGTTGTTGAGTTTTCTGTTGTTTGAATGTATCATAATGTAACTAATGTTTCCTCCAGTACTCATATGTTTATTTTTAAAATATTTTTTCAAAACTTTCCTCTCTTTAGGATCAACTTACTATCCTGAAATACATTCTCCCAAGAAGAAGGGACCACTTCCTTCCATCCAAGAAAGAAAGACCACTTTGTGAGAAAGGCTTGGGTATCCCATGAACGAGCTAGCAGAAAACCGATTGGGGTGCAGCAGGACTCCAGAGCCAGATATAAGGCTCAGAAAAGGGCACCAGCTTGATGGTACAAGAGGAGGTGATAATGACAACCACCAAGGAGATTTGGAGCCTACTTTAGAAGCATCTGTTCCTTCTTCCTATCATAAAAAAGTAGGTAAAGTTGGAATTGGGTGGCAAACAAAGCAAAAATTACTTAAGGACAAGGATACTAAGAAGTGTGTATATGTGTATGTTGCCATTGCTGTAGAGGATAGAAGATAGGGTGTCAATTTTTTCTTTTTAGTTCAGAATAGCCAAGCCCCTCATTAGGTCAGGTGCTATAGATTTTATGGTTACCCCTTTCTGCTGACACTTAAAAATCATACATACTTGGATTTATAATAATATTATGCTTTAATTATAATATCAGTGATATTTTTAGCTGGAACTATTTCTCTAGAAATTTTTATCTTCTGTGCATATCTTGTGGGTCAGTACAGTTCTAAGAACAGAAGGTAGATTTTAGTCTTTCCTTGAATTTCTCAGAGGAAAGAGCAAATTTTAGTCAGGCAAGTTTACTTAGAGAGGCAAAGTAGAAATATTGGTGAACTGCACCAGAGAGTTATTATTACAGACATTTTGCTGCTTTGGAACCCTTGTACTAGGTAGTATGCATCCATGTTATGGCACTAGTGGAGCGTTAAATTGGGGGTTGTGCTATTATTGGTAGGTTGCAGTGTTACAATTTACTAAAAAAATTGAACATGGACTCAGGGTGTACCTCATTGGTATACTTGCCTAGCATGTGCTAGGCCCTGGGTTCAATCCCCAGGGCTGGAAAACAACAAAACAGCCAGGTGTGATGGTGTACACTTGCAATCCCAGCAACTGGGAACGCTGAGGCAGAAGGATCCCAAGTTTAAGGCCAACCTGGGTAACATAGTGAGACCCTGTCTCAAAGTGACATGTAGCTGAGCACTCCCTGAATTCAATACCCAGTAGTGTAAAATAAGTCTCAACAATTCAAAATTCAACAGCAAAATAGAATGAAAATATTAAGCTCTGTAATTAATGTACATGTAAACTAAATTAAAATTACATTAAATTTGATGAAAATGTCATGTTTTATGTAGTATATTGATAGGAATAATAAATGAAATTTCTTGGGATTATAAAAGCATTTTGAATGCTCTACTTGGAGCAGCTGTTTCACCATCCTAAGATACGTTTATTGGATTGGATGCTAATAATGTAGATTAAACGCCAAAGGGCTGTCTGTTCTTCTCAAGTTCTTTACAAGAATTTTGCCTGTGTACTAATAATACAGTCTATTGTAGCAAGAAATTTAAGAATATTTATTCTTTTATTTTTGGTAATGCTTTATAAGGCTAACATTATGCTTTTGGCTGGATTGTGCTATGGTATGTGTGTGCATAGTTGTTTACTGATAGATCAATAATTAAAGGGTTTTTTGTTTTTTGTTTTTTTTTTTTTTTGAGACAAGGTCTTGCTATGTAGTCCAGGCTGGCCTTGAACTCACTGTGTAGCCAGGCTGGCCTCAAACTTGGAGTGATCCTCCTGGCCCAGCCTCCTGAGTGCTGGGATTATAGGCTTGCGCCATCACACCTGGCCTGGTTGAAGGGAGTTTTGAGAAAAGCTTAATGTGGCTTTTAAATCAGAAGTTTTGCAGATATTGGAGGCAAGGACTTCCTTGTACACTTGACTTTATTTTCTTGTTCCTTTACAATGTAGTGTACTAGTAGCTTAAAATTTCCCTAACCAGGCTGAGCCAGTTGGTCTAATATCTAAGCAATTGTTGATACAATTGCTGTATAACTAATGAGAACATCACTGATTTGGATAAGTGAGTGGGATTATCTTTTTTTGTTCTTTTAACTGTGGTAAAAAATATGAATATGAAATCTACCCTCTTAATAGATTTTTAAAGTATATAGTAACTATATGTACAATGTAGTACAGCAAGTTTCTAGAGTTTTTCATTTCACATTGTGGAAATTCTTACTTATATTTATTGTAGCATCCCCACTTCCCTGTTTTCCCTGAACAACTACCATTCTATCTGCTTCTGTGAATTTGACTCACTTAAATACTTCATATAGGTAGAATCGTGTGGTGTTTTTCCTTCTGTCATTGGCTTATAACTATACTTAGCATGTAATGTTTTCAGGGTTTATTCATGTAGCATATGACAAAGATTCCTTTTATTTTTAATGAAGCAAAGTTTTATTAAAGCTAGGAAAAGAAACAGGCTCTGCAGAGTGAGTTTGGGCCAAATAAAAGTAGGAAAAGAAACACACTACAGGGTGAGGGTGGGCTACTATGCAAGAGAGAACGTGGTGGCAAAAACTCAATGTAGACAGTCCTTTTTGTATTATCCACTCCTCAGTCTGATGTCAGGTGTAGGCCATCCTGTCGGAAAACTGCTCCAGTTATCGGAAAAGTCTACCTGCAGGCCTTTGGGAACTGTTCTGCTTGTGAGTCCTGGGATTTTATAATTACCAGGTCACAACTACTTTCCCAGCCAGCATCTCCATGCCCTAATCTCCTGTTTCATTTCCCCCTGAGAGATACATACTCCTATAATTCTTTATGGGATGCTGTGCAAGTGGAAGTCTCTGTCTTCTATAGTGTCTTTCAACTGGAAGGGGTTGTAGACCCTACCTACTGGGGATTATGTGCTGTACAACTACCTTGGTGTTGTGGCTCACTGGCTGAGTTGAAAGAAAAGAAAACCTGTCAGAAGACAGTGAGAAAAGTTAGTGACTGTTGAGCTGTCTGTTACTATTTTAATGTTGAGGATGTAGACTCCACATAATGAGGAGCAGGTCAGGTTTCCCACACTTCTTGTTGAGGACAAACTGTGGCAAAGAGGGAGGTTAGGTAAATTATCAAGAGCCTGAGAGCCATAGCCTTAGCAAGATTACCCACATAATGGATCTAATTCAGAGTGGAAGCATCGGTACAGGTGCCCCTTTAAACTGTGGTGAATTAGGGTCCTCAGTGACTCTACTTATCTTGCTTTCTGAAGACCTTCAGGTCTTCCAGAGGTTCTGAGGAACAGTTTCCTTCTTAGTCCTCTTCAGAGTCTTGCAGGGGCAGGTCACTGACGTCCTACCTGCTTGCATGGTCTAGATGATAACTTGTTATAGTTACAGGAGTGGCTGACATGGTCTTGGAGATCACTTATTCACAGGAGTGGCTGACTTCTGGGCCTTTTCCACTGATCAAGGAGAGTGGAAAGGACAGCCTAGTGACAAAGTCAGTGGAATCTGCAGGGTGTTGTTCATATTTCCATGGCTTATGGGGCCTGCTCTTCTGGTTGGTTAAGCCAGATATTGACTGGTTTTGGGGGTATGGTGTCTCTTTCTGGAGGTAGTTTCTAGGTTCTTTTTGTCCTGAGCAGAGAGCTGGTCAAGACAACACAGGATAGTAGCAAAGTTTTATTAAAGGCGAGAAAAGAAACAGACTGCAGAGCAAGTTTGGGCCAAATAAAAGTAGGAAAAGAAGCACATTCTACAGGGTGAGGCAAGAGAAAACACAGTGGCCAGATTCCTTCTTTTTAAAGGCAGAAATAATAGTCATTATACATATGTTCTTTATTCTTGCACAGATGGACATGTAGGTTGTTTCCAAATCTTGGGTATTGTAAATAATGTTGCAGTGAACATAGAAGAGCAAACCTGTCTTTAAGATCCTGCTTAGAGGTTTTTTTTTTGGTCTTTTTGAGACAGGGTCTCGCTGTGCAGTTCAGGCTGGCCTTTAGCCCAGGCTGGTCTTGAACTCGCAACGATCCTCCTGCCTCAGCCTCCTGAGTGCTGGGCTTACAGGCGTGCGCCACCATGCCCAGCCAGAGTTTTTGAAAAATACATAAAAGTGAGATTGTGGAATCACATGGTAATTATATTTTAAGGTTTTGGAGGAACAACCATACTGATATTATTAGCATTTGTACCATACTGTCTTCCATATCTGTTATACCATTTTACATGCAGCTGAGAACTTTAGTAAAGGCTGAGTGAAAGTGGGAGAAGAAAGGTGGAAGTGTGTTTAAGCAATAGGAGTAGTGTATACAAAGAAGCTGAGTCTAAAAAGTTGTCATATTTGAGGAATATGGTGAGTGGATAGAGGGCAAGTATTAGTTTCACATTACAATACCAAATATCTTTCGTTACTATTAACAAAATTACAAGAGATTTGACTTGCAGTTCTTCTGGTGGCTGCAGTCCAAGATTGGGCAGCCTCATTGCTTTGGGCTGCTGGCGAGGGCAGCACATCATGAAGGAGCACATGGCTGTATAAATTTCTCACACCATGAGACAGAAAGTAGAGAGGAGGATAGGATTGGGGGCCACACACCAGTGAGGACCTATCACTAGGTTATACCTCTTAAACGTCCATCCTAGCTGCCAGCACCACCTGGGGACTCAGTTCTTTTAATACCTGTGCTTTTTAGGGTCACTCATCCAAACCATAACGGGAAGGATGGGTTGGTAGAGTTGTGGTTAATAAAAAAGTCAAACAAAAAATGTAAAGATCCTTGTAGGCATAATATGGAAAAGGGTATTGGGTCCAGTCAGAAAGTTTTAAGCAGGAGAGTGATTTCATACATTCTGAGAAGCCCACTTTTTGGCTTATGTGAAGATAGATTATGGAGGGAGCTGGGGGAAAGGAAGAAAAAACACATATGAGTTGGGAGTCTGCTGTAGAAACTCAAACTTTTTGGTAGCTTAGTCTACCAAATAGATGGTAATAGAGTTGGCAAGAAGTTGGCAAGAAATTTGAATTGCACTTTGGAGTTTGACAAGATTCGCTGGTGGATTTGATATAGTAGGTGAAATGAGAAGGAAGTGATGTGAATAACTCTGAGATATAATGTGAGTAACTCAGCTGATTAGGATATGGTACTATCTCCTGAGGTTGGGAAGACTAGAGGATGAGTTTAGGATCAAAGCGGATTTAGGTGGGTGATCAACCTAAATCTTTTGGCTATGTTAAGTCCCGTCCTAGTGGACTTGTCAAGGAGGTTGTCAAATATGAATATGGAATTCCAGAGGTCTTTGTTGGAGGTACTCATGTAGGAAGTCGTCAAAGATAAATGATATTTATAACTATTGAAATGGTTTAAGTTTGCTTAAAAGGGCAAGAGTGAG